CCAATTATTCCTGAATATTGTCAAAGCTTATGAGATTTTTTTGCATCAAAATTATAGACAAATGAAGTATAGGTTATGTTTATTTCCAATTTAGTCAAAATTTCTCTCAGATAGGCTGACTGTCATTTAACTTTGTTCATAAATAAGTTTTTTTGAAAAAAAAGTCATTCTAAGCCTAACACTGCTATTTGAAGTGATAATTTGTGCTCATGTTTAAATGTTTATCGACTTACTTAAAGACATTTGCAGTACTTTTTTGAAGCTGATTTACATAAAGATGATGAATAAATTTTGATATTGACCAATAAAAGTATGAGGTCGCTATTTGAAATGGTTGATTGGCTAGCTACTTACACATCAGTTATAATAAGACACTAATAGTTTGGTAAGAGATTAAAAACACTTTCAAGGTTGTTTATACCTCAATTGATTAATGCTTGATTACTGAATACAAATATATAGAATTATTTTGCTTCTTTTAACCATGACAGATTTTCATTGATACTTGAAGTAATTACTTATGCTGACTTTTAATTAATTAGATTACTTACACTGACTTTTGATACATGACTTATGCTGACTTATGATAGTGCCTTATATGTGATTACTTTACTATTGCCGACTTTTTATATGATTACTTACACTGACTTTTAATATGATTACTTACACTGACCTTTAATATGATTAGATACCTCATCCTGACTTTTTATATAATTACTTAATTAATTACTTATAACTCACTGCCTTATATTATGATTAATATTCCTTTCTTATGATAACTTACAGTGACTTTTACTTACTTTTGGTATGATTAGTGACTTTTAATGATTACTTTTACTTTCTTATAATGATTACTTTTTTCTTTTTTATAATACCATTACTGTTACTGTCTTTAAATTGTTAATATTTTATTTGGAATATCATTGGATTAGCCTTGGATTAAGTCAATGTTTAGCTCTTTATATCTTTGAATGATTTTGAAAAATGTTGAAATTTCAGGGGAAGTAATAACCGATTAGATGAGAGTTCTAGAGCACGACAGAATGCTAACAGGTCAGTTGATTCTTTAGATTAGATCTTAGACTTGGAACTATATAAAATTTGTAACTCAATTGGTAGAAAATTATGTGATTTGAGCTTTATGTGATAAAGCATATTTATTGATTAGTGACGTCATCAAACACTTAGTTTTAGTGAAATTGCAAAACCCCCAGACATCTCATTGAAAATTAGAATGGTGCAAATTGATGCTTTCAGTGTCCTTGATACACATAAAAAGTTTGGAAAACCTCTTCACATTCCCTTTAATGTACCTAAAAAACATAAATGTGTCATATTTCAAAGTCTAACTTTAATCTCTATATTTGTCTATGTATTTTAGATTATTTAACTCTCAGAATAATGCTAGAGGTGGATATAATGTTGGTAATGTATTTTATTATGGTGGCTCACAGCTGCAGTTTGAATGGTAAGATTGATGGCATTTAACTTTGTCAAGTTATTTTCAGAATTTAACTCTTTTTTTATCTATAATCATACGAATATTTCCCAAAAAAGGAAAGGAAGAGTTATAGATATTTTATTGATCAGCCATATATAACCTATAATTGTGAAGATAGTACGCACCTCAAAATTGGCCCCTTGGTAGGCATATTAAAGACACCAATATTTTGGTGAATGAAAATCTTACAGTTGGTTCTCCAACAATAACAAACATACCGCCCCAAATCAAAGGCCATACTTAGAAATTAGCATGCAGTTATTACAACATCAAAGTAATGGCAATAACTGTACATACCTGTAAGATTAGTAGACCTATTCTACAAAATAAGCACTGACAATGGTTTTGATTTCATATTTTCAGGACCAATCAACATTCATGTGGTAACCAGAATGCTAACTGTGAAATAGTTATACAGTATATGTGTGGAGAAAATGTCCGAGATGGTGTGACCAGACAGTAAGTAGAAAATTTCAAAGAAAGATGTAGCCAGCTTTGGTTCACGAGATTTTTTCTACCATCTGGTCCTTGGCCAAATCTCTTAGCATTGATCTTTCCCAGATTTTCAATACTCATTGACAGGTTGGGAAAGAGAGCTTATTCAAATTCGACAGATTTTAACAAGCTGACCGACGTTAGAACCTGCAAACACCATTCAACATAATCAAGTAAAAGATGTGATGCAAAGATTCCTGTATTCAAACAGACTATGCTAGTCGCAGTTCTTTAATATTATATCTTTATTTATAGCCCTGAGATAGCGTATTAAACAGATTGTAAAAAGGTTTTCTAAACTTTGTATGTGTATCAGGGACACTGATAGTATCAATTGATATTTCAGGACAATCCCAGAGAATCTTGCCCAGTGTAAAGATATGAATTGTAATACTGATACAGAGTTTGGAATGCACGAGAGTTATGAGAACTGGTTAAAATGTAGTTTACGTCAGAGGAATAACGGTTTATTTATAGCTGATCAGGTAATTTCCGAGTTTCCACAACTTAAATCTGATCCAAATGCAAATCTGAACAATTCAGTTTTTTTCTTCAGGTGACTGAACTTGCTATCCATGATCTTATGAAATTCTTAAGCATCTCTTGTTCTAGGTCATGTTATATTCCACCAATCAAATGATCTTATCTATAAAATATGTCCTTACTCTACATTGATAATTCTGGTACTGTCTAAAAACTATTTACAATGTTTTTGATTGGTTGGCTTAAATTATGACAATTTTTGCTGCTATTGAGTCCTCTGTCTTCATTAGCCCACATGGTGCAGCAAATGGGACGTAAAACTCCATTCATTTCATTTTATTTTTGCTATTGAGTCCAAATTCAAAAGAAGAAGATTTGAAGACAAAAATTTTGATTTTATAATAGCTCAGTTTTTATAAAACCCCTTATAATGTGCCTTGTCTGCCTACGTTCATTGGTAAATTTTTATTGGATTAGGAATATCAGTTAAAGGTTTTTATTATTTTGTGTTTTTAGAATTTAGGAGGTGGAAGAAAACGAGCTAGACATACTAGACAGAATGCTAATGGACAGAGACGGGGGTATGAATGTTCTGAAGAAAGAGATTATTATCCATACTGGCATCCATCACCATGGAGGGTAGGTACATTAGTATATTCATGGAATTAACCAGAATCGCCACAAAAGTAGTTGGAATGAAATTCAAAATGAGTTCATTCAAGACATTCATTCATTGATTCATTCATTCTGTTTATCTGTTCAATCTGTCTATCTATTGAGGATATTATAGTTATGACGAATGATGTCAATATTCATTCATTCATTCTGTTTATCTGTTTAATCTGTTTATCTATTTAGGATATTGTAGTAATGACCAATGATATTAACAGATGTCCCTATTATAAGACTGAGAGTGAGAATGTGAAAGGTAGATGGTATTGTGATATTCCACTACAGGTTTTAGAACTCAACAGAAGAAAGGGGTTGATCATACCCAATAACAAGGCTGATTGTGATGTAAGTTTTAGGGGTTTTGTTTGGGGTCAGGGAAAAAAAATTTATGGTGAAAGTTGAATGATCACGGCAGGGCTGTTGATCTGGTTGTATATTTCAGACATGACTGGCTGCCCAACTCAAATGTCGTTCTTGAAGATCTTTTGAATATCAAGTATAGTTTTAAAAAATATTGACTGTCTATTTTTTAGAGAGATTCTTAATTCTCTTTTGTAGGGGTCTGGGGAAAGTTATTTTTGATTTTCCAATAATCCGAGAACTATAATTCTGAAATTTCAAATTTGTTGCAGGCTTTTAGATGGCCAAGAAACGACCCCGAAGGTACAAGAGGTGTCTGGACTCAAGCTCCTTCTCACGGTTTAGAAGAACCGGTTTGCCAGGAAACCGAGTTCACCCGTGACAACCACAACGGTAATGGTTTACATGGTACACCCAACACTTTCAACTGGACCATTCCCAATATAGAGGAAGATAAATGTGTCTTCAGAATCAGGTAAAGGGCGGGTCAATTATATCTTCTCAGCCTGTGCTTTTGTGTTTTCAATAACATATAGATTTCACTACCACTTTCATCAAAGAAAAGGGAGTGTTGCTCATAATTGGACGTCTTGATTTATTTTTTTCAAAAATTCAAAAAGAACAACTATGCAGCAAAACAGCATGCTTGGTGTCTGATGAATTTGATCAATGAAATAACCAATTTTATTTTTTCAGGTACAACATTTCAACCAATGACTATGCTCCATGGGACACTGATGCCGAGCAAAATGCCAATCCCAGAAATCGTGGTGCCGGAACCAACGTCAATATTTTCGAGAGGTATGGATTCGAGAACGCAGACGCTGCAGGAGACAGAGGATATATTTTCAAGAATGATCCAACAGTCAAAGTTTTTCCAGATTTGGACGTTGATCTAGCCATCGCCTTGGATACAGCCCAGTTTGGACGAACCTTCCAAGATAGGTAAAGCTTCAGTTTCTTCAGTGTCTCAAAAGAGGGAAACTTGGTGGGACGCCTTGTTCAAAAAAGTTTATCATCTCTATTGTAATCTAACAAGTTCTCTACTGCAGTCTTGTCAAAGCATATCATTAGAGGAATTATGGGATAAAAAAACCCAAAGTAGAGACTTATGACAACCGCCTTCTATCTGTTATCCCACAATTCTCATTGTTATCAAGAAACAAGCCCTACATAATTGGTTGAAAAAAAATGTCATTTGAACACCACTGCAGTAGAAATCCTGAATTATCAGAAAAGTAATTAAATTTGGAGCAAACAGATGCTCAAAAGCACCCTTTATCCCTTTTACATACAAACACAAGAAAACCTTTTTGAATCACTGAATGGATCTATTTGGTCTCCTAAATATAAACCCAGCTTTATGGAACAACAATAACTAATAAAAGACCAGAAAACCTTTTTGAATCAATAATCACTGGTTAATAACAACCAATCAAAAACTAGAAAACCTCTCTTGAGTCTGTAAACTAATCGGTGTGGTCATGGTGTCTGTTTTCAGGACCTTCGTGTTTGCCATCCAGAACAGACCAAGTGACGTACCAGCTGATGCCAAGATACATAACCTCAATGTTCGTGGTAAACGTGGTAACATCGTAGAGACCTACCCAGCCGTGGAATACGACTTCGTACCAACTGATCTACATGTTTCTGAAGAAGATTATGTCCATATTCAGTAAGTAACGTTGGATTTTAAATTAAAAAGCAGATTTGGCAATCTGGTGCAATATTATCAGTTTGGTACTAGTGCTGCCTTTTGCATTTCATTCATTCATTCATTCATTCCCTCAATTTCCTCATTCTTTCCCTTAATCATTCATTCCATCCACAATTCATTCAATCCTTCCCTCAATCATTCATTCATTCCCTTAATCATTCATTCATTCATTCCAGATGGACAGGTTCAAACACTAACAACAATGGTAATGATGGTCAAGGTCGTGCTGGATCAGATAGAAACAATATAGTGTTGATGAATAACCAAGTGTATCCAGAGGGCACTGGTGTATATAATGGACCTGGTCAAGAGTTTGGACATTATGGTGTCAACTACCCAATCCACGCCAGTGAAGCACCTCTTGGTATTGACGTTCTGCGAAGATTGGCCTTCCTCGAACCAGGTATGCTTAAAGGGATTGTAAAGAGGTTTTCAAAACTTTTTATGTGTTTATGTGATAGCATAAGTTTGCACCATTCCAATTTTCTGTCAGACATTGTGGTTCCTGCAATTACACTAAAACTAGAGTTTTATGACATCGCTATGGTAAAAGCTGTTAATGATATCAAAGCACCTTTACGATGTCAGAAAACGTTCAGTTTCAGTGGAATCACAAGAAGCAAAAAATAAAACCACTAAAATAAATATTGATATTGGTACTTACCCCAAAATTATGGATGTGCTCAAAAATTTTTCTCAACTTTACTGCATAATAAAATGGACAACTTGTGTTTATGACTTGGATCATCTTGGGATGTGCACCCATATCTTTGCCATGATCCGAATGCAACACAACTCTTGATTCTGTTTCCAGGACAATTTGGCGGTGAGATGTCAGAATTAGATGATGCTGGAACTTATTTCAATCTGGGGGCTATCAAGGCACCAGACGCCGGCACCTACCATTATATGTGTACCAGAAACAACGCTTTCACTAACCGCGACCAGAAGGGGCGTCTTCACGTACATCCCTACACCATGGAAACCAGAAGTATTGGTCAGATGGGAGGAACTTTACAAGCAAAGTAAGTGAACACTCTTAAAGAAATATAGTCATAGAATTTTTTTTTATTTTATCAGCTGATTTATTCCAGCTACCTGAATTCCTTCTCAGAATCAAATTTTGTTTACAATTAAATAAGATTTATTGCAATAAGGGACAGAATTGGAAAGGGGGAAAAGAATTGAATACTTTTTACCCAAATGATTTTTCAGAACAAAATTTAGTCGTCGGATTTGTCTACAATTAAATAAGATTGTATTACAATCAGAAACTAAATGGAACAGTAATTTAACATTAGCTATGGGGAATCTTTCTTTGTAAGGGATATTGAGTGAACAAACTTGCAGCTAGAAAGAGTAAACTTATTCTGCTGTTCTGACAAAATTGCACACTGCATGGCATAGCCCTTCTTCATGAGCCAATCTGCAGAAAAGTGGAACGGTAACCTCAATTTCATTTCATTTTCAGGAAGTCCAAGTTAAGTGTAGATGAAAAAGTGTTCAATATTTTAAGAACATTAAGTTTAGAGGAATGGCCAGTAGAAGCAGGGTCCAAGAAACTGGAATCCAAAAATAAGAAGATTACTGTAAGTCTTTGATAAGAAATTGATCTTTTTTAGGGGCACTGAAGCATTGTTATTTGGACTAATGATATATATGGGGATATAAGGGTCGATATCTCGATACATGCATCCCCGTTGTAGGGTGGGGTTCATGGAGGCTGGGACCCAGCAAGTGATAATTAAGCCCCAGCAAAACTTTCTTCAGTTCAGCAGAGATTGATTCATTTACAGTGTTTTTATACAAAATCAAAAATATAGATTTTGATACGTTTTTAGCACCTCAAAATTGTCAGAAATGAGTTCTCTGTGCCTTTAATTCCTCATATTTTCTGAATACAAAATCTGAGCCCCAGCATCAATTTATTCCTGGTGACTGGACCGGATACAAAGCAATAAAATGAAAAGAAAACTCCCTATGTTTGCTTTTTTTCACGACAAAATTTTGTTTACCTTTTATGCATGTCTTGTTATTTCAGGTTTTGATCTCCACATTTTGATTATTTGTTGGTTCCATATCTCATACAATTTTCATGTTTCTTTTAATTTATGTAATTTTTTTTTTTTTGTTATTGGTGGACTATGTCATTAATTGTTCAGTTAAACAGCTGATAGAGCTAGAATCTAGGCACATGTATCACATATCAGAATTGAAATTTGATATCAGGTTCACCTGTGATAAAAATAAAATTTCCATCTATAACAGCCAATTGTAGGCAAATTATCTTGAATCATAAGAACCGACACATACCTTTCCAAATTTAGTTCCCATATTTTGTCATTAACATTCTATGGATGTTCTTTATTTTTTTAATTATTTCTGTAGGTTGGAGATGACTATGCCAGTGATTTCCTCCGAGTTTATCCAGAAAAAAAAATAGCGGACTCTACAAAAACATTTACCATTGAAATGGAGGTGGACAGTTCACAAAATGATGTTCAAATTTACAGATCCCATTCTGATAATTTTGCTACATGGACGAAAGTTCCGGCAAAAATTGAAGATGGTAAAGCTGTTTTCCAGGCTCAAGAAGGCGGAGTTTATGTTGCCAGGAGTAACAGAAATGTGGCGTTAATCGTTGGACTTACGATATTTTTCATAGTTTTGGCCATAATTATAATTGGTGGGTTTATATATTTCAGGCGGCATCCAAAAAAATTTCAAGAAGTGATAAGTAACATGCGCAAAACTGAGCGTTCATTGCACAAAAAAGTTTAAAAACGGTAACGATTCTATTTCGTCCAGGACTCGGTGATTCAGTATTTTAATGTTTTAATATTTGTTGTTAAATTCACATATTCTCATGTGGCTTAACATTTTTTTGGAAAAGGGAGATAAGTTCTGAAATTGGTGCCATTCCAATTTTACCATTAATACATTTCTGTCATAGAAAGTGACCATGATTCCATATGAGATCTTAAATGCCAGTTTTTAGGTGTCAAACTTGACTGAAGTTGTGACTCGCTTGCCTTGTGACTTGACTGAAGTTGTGACTCGCTTGCCTTGTGACTTGACTGAACTTGTGACTCGCTTGCCTTGTGACTTGACTGAACTTGTGACTCGCTTGCCTTGTGACTTGACTGAACTTGTGACTCCAAACCTGTGACTTGCATGTATTGTGACTCGACTTGTTTTGTTTTGTGACTTGACAGAACTTTTGACTCCAAACTTGTGACTGTACTAAACTTGTGACTTGCTTGTCTTGTGACTCACTTGTTTTGAGACTTGCTTGAATAGTGACTCCTTTGCATTGTAACTGATTTGCCTTGTGGCTTATCTTGGTCTGTTTTATAAGACGTACAGACTTAATTTTGACTTAATTGGTCTTTAACTTGAAAAATAACACATGAAAATTGGCATTTAAGATCTTTATTTAACCAGTTGTTGTTGTTCATAACATTTTAACTTGTTACTGTTCTCAAATTGTGATTCATTTTCAGGAATTCTCTGTTAAATCTCTTTAATTTTTTATTCTGTTGAGCTGTTTAACATTCCTAAATACTTCTTTACTCTGTGATAACTAAAGGAAATAACCGTATTGTAACTAATGGAAAGCCAGGCTAACTCTTTTGTAACTAAGGGATACCAGACTAACTCTTTTGTAACTAAGGGATACCAGACTTACTCTTTTGTAACTAAGGGGAAACTAGGCTTATTCTGGTGTAACTAAGTGGATACCAGGCCTACTGTGTAACTAATTTGTTGTAACTAAGGGGAAATCAGGTCTACTCTGCTGTTACCAGGGGGAAACCAATCCCATTATTCATGAGTAGCCTCTGCTTGACAACATAGAATTCTTTGTAGACTCCAGTTCAGCAAGAAAAATCTTTTAATCCAATTTTGAAAATACTGTCATGGTGACAGATCTATGTCTGAATTCAGTCAAGTTCAGTAACTCACAATCACAAAATTATTTATTTTCATGCCAAAATTGTTTTTATAATAGTGCTGTTTGGATATTGTATATAGAGTTTGATCATTATTTATATTTGTTGTATGTTTTATTATTGAGCAAGCAGACACATGCATACCATTCCTAATTGCCAATGGTGTCCATAGTTACACTGTTTTTAATGTGGGGTTTTTAGTTGGGAACATTTTAGTATTATTTAGCACCTTCGTAGACTAAAACCTTTTTCTTGAAGCTCAGCTGGTCTGACTCTCAACGAAATTGGAATTTTGTATATATATTGCCTAAAAATTGTTAAGTGCCTTAGAAAATGTTGAATGAAACTTGGAGAGAAGGGGTGGTGAGTTGGGGTCAGTTTTTTCAGCCAAAGTTTGGCCTTAATTAAACTGAAGAAATAGAATGAGGTATTGTTGGAACCCTTTTTCATCAGCACCCCACCCCACCCCTATCAAATATCTTTAGCTACCCTAAGACTCTTTGTAATGCATAATCATATTTTCAGCCATTTTTATGCCAAATTTGTATTTTAGTTTTTTCACTATTGTATATAATATATTTTACTAGTTTTTGTATTTTTCACTGTTTTTCCAGGTCCCTTTCTAAAGTCACAGAAAACCTTATATCACAGTATTGTTTAACTTTTATACAAAATTTATTTAATGAAATATAATTCATGAAATTTGAAAAAGTGTTCTTGTAATGATTTTTTCCAATTTTTCTGTAACATTTTAATCTAATAGAATTTCTATTCGCGTTTTTATCAAAAGATTTTTTCTATGATTAAGCTTCCTCGTTGTTCATTTTTTTTTTTAATTTTTAAATTTGGTTTTAAAACAATACAAATCACTTGAAAAAGTTTCTAATTTGAGCTCTATTTTTTTTACACTTTCAAAATTAATTCCTAAAATTGTTTTCCATCTAGGGAATGATGTGTTGTTTTTTTTCAACTTTTTTATTTTGAAAATATCATTAAATTGTGAAGCTTTTCTATCCACCATTTTGATTTTTAAGATATTTTTTTATTTTTCTGTAACTAACTGCTGGTCAGTAAAAACTAATAAATTTATTATCTTTGAATTTTCTCTTATTTTTGTTTATATCACTCCTGTTCAATGAGTTCTCTTACTTTCCCCAATTTGCCCGACAACTCTGGCCTTAACCAGGTCCTCAGTTGTCATATGTCACATCATCTGAGATATACTCAGTGCATACTTAAAAGGAATAGACCAACTTGATAGTAAAGATGCATAAGGGTTGGACCAATGTTGACAGGCGATATGCTCATACAGGTGATATCCTCTACAGTAAGGTTGAACACCACTTCCTAAACAGTGTCATTTCTAGGAAACATCTGGTGGGGGTCCGAGTCCCATCCATTCTCTCACTCTGTAAAATGATTGTAAAATTTGAAAGAAGGTGGGGGGAAGCGGGGGGCAAAAGCCAGGGTAGCCGCTTTTCTGGGGCCATTCCCCTCTTCCTCTCCCTGTAATGATGAGAACTTTGATTCCGAAGCATATGTAGGCGACAAAGAGTCATGTCAAATAGAAATAAATTTGACTTGACTAAATGTGTATCCCCCCCTCCATGGAAAGCTGGGTGAAGTTTGCCCCAGAGTAGAAACTCCACTGAGTTTGAGATATAATCTAGAACTGTTGTCCTGATGAGGATTTTGTTCCCCAAGCATTTTGACAGCATGAGATTAGCTGTAGTCAAATGGAAGATTTGTCAAGGCCAAAGATAAAATATGTACCTATTCTGGTGAGATTCTAGATGAATATGTATCTTAGTCTGTAGCAAGCTGGGTGAGGTTCTAGATGAATATGTATCTTAGTCTGTAGCAAGCTGGGTGAGGTTCTAGATAAATATGTATCTTACTCTGTAGCAAGCTGGGTGAGGTTCTAGATAAATATGTATCTTACTCTATAGCAAGCTGGGTGGGTCTCTAGATAAATATGTATCTTACTCTGTAGCAAGCTGGGTGAGGTTCTAGATAAATATGTATCCTACTCTGTAGCAAGCTGGGTGGTGTTCTAGATGAATATGTATCTTACTCTGTAGCAAGCTGGGTGAGGTTCTTGATAAATATGTATCTTACTCTGTAGCAAGCTGTGTGAGGTTCTAGATGAATATTTATCTTACTCTGTAGCAAGCTGGGTGGGGCTCTAAATACATATGTATCCTACTCTGTAGCAAGCTGGGAGGTGTTCTAGATAAATATTATCTTACTCTGTAGCAAGCTGGGTGGGGCTCTAGATAAATATGTATCTTACTCTATAGCAAGCTGTGTGAGGTTCTAGATGAATATGTATCTTACTCTGTAGCAAGCTGGGTGGGGCTCTAGATAAATATGTATCTTACTCTGTAGCAAGCTGGGTGAGGTTCTAGATAAATATGTATCTTACTCTGTAGCAAGCTGTGTGAGGTTCTAGATGAATATGTATCTTACTCTGTAGCAAGCTGTGTGAGGTTCTAGATGAATATGTATCTTACTCTGTAGCAAGCTGGGTGGGGCTCTAGATAAATATTATCTTACTCTGTAGCAAGCTGGGTGAGGTTCTAGATTAATATGTATCTTACTCTATAGCAAGCTGTGTGAGGTTCTAGATGAATATGTATCTTACTCTGTAGCAAGCTGGGTGAGGTTCTAGATAAATATGTATCTTACTCTGTAGCAAGCTGGGTGAGGCTCTAGATAAATATGTATCTTACTCTGTAGCAAGCTGGGTGAGGCTCTAGATAAATATGTATATTACTCTGTAGCAAGCTGGGTGAGGTTCTAGATAAATATGTATCCTGCTCTGTAGCAAGCTGGGCGAAGTTCTTGATAAATATGTATCCTGCTCTTTAGCAAGCTGGGTGGGGCTCTAGATAAATATGTATCTTACTCTATAGCAAGCTGGGTGGGGCTCTAGATAAATATGTATCCTACTCTGTAGCAAGCTGGGTGAGATTCTAGATTAATATGTATTCTATTCTGTAGCACATAATCTTAACAATCCCTTTAAGGCTTTTCGAACACTCAGGTAGGGTTCATATTTGTTGCAAGTATATTTTACAATTTTCAATCAAAAGGCATATAATCATCTCAATTTTGCTATTCGTACCTTTACTCGGGAAAAACAGTTACCTCATGCAAGCGTGTACTACCGACAAATGGGACGGATGGCGTTGATTATATGTGAGTGTTTAAAGGATGATTCACTCGTACAATATTTTAGCCTTTTTAATTCAATATTATGCCGAATATTCCCTTTAATCGCATCGAATTTGATTATATTCATTCGCCCACCGGACTACTTTTATCTCAAAAGCAAACAATTTAATTGGATCAGAGTTAATTAAGCTGAAAATCGGAAAATAACATATTCCTACACCATGAGGACTACTTTAATTCGATACAAAAACAATTTGCGACTTGAACTGATAAGTAAAGACTTCGCTTCAGATTATGAATACCTTTTCTAATTACTACAAGAATAAGCCTTTTGTTTATCCTCGGAATTAGTAATGTTACAATGCCGAGAATCGGAAGAAAAAATAACGACTAACCTTGAATGAACAAGTCTCAATAGATATTAATGATCGTGACTTAGGATTAGGAATGTCTTGTGGTTTGCCATAGGCATGTTAGTCCTAGATGATCTGGCATGATATTGACAGCTAGTCACTCTAGAGGTAAAGGGGGGGGGGGGGGGGGGGGGGGTTCCCCTAAAAAGGGCCCCCCCAAAACCCGTTTTTTTTCCCCATCCTTCCCCCAAAAAAAAAATTTTTTT